GGCACTTTAGAGCATCTAGTCAGAGTATTTGTAATATAGCCCAAATTATAAGAAACAACAAAATAAAATTCTAGCAAAATGTTATGTATGTGGTGTGTATATAATGTTAAAGTTTAAAGTTTGTAATGTCATATTTATGTATTAATGTACATATTATTATGTAGTATTTATCTATGTAATATGACTTTAAATATTCATTAAGCAAAGCTAAAGCTAATGTGTGCATTTCACAATTGAGTAATTTAATTACATATAAGCATATTATGAGTACAACAAACATTACAAAAGCAATATTACCTGAGGCACAGGAACTATTTCATTTATTGAGACCATGCCTGTAGCAGCCTCGGGCCCCATCAGGCTGAGGACTCACTGCTCCAGGTTGGTGATGCAAACTTTTAAAGCTGGACCACCACCAGTTAGTATTTGTTTTTTAGGTCACTCCACACCTATTACGTGCAAAGAAAACATGCTTATTAACTATTAAAATACAATGGCAAATGTAAAGCAAGTAAATTATTAATCACAGATAACTCTTGTATAAGTAGCATTTAACATCGAAATTGTCTCGATTGAATGGATTAACTAAATGCTGGCTTTATGGGAAGCCTTTATAATAATATAATTTTGATTATTGTTGTACCTCTTTCCATTTGTCCACCGGTTTCGAACTTTCGGTGGGATCAATGTTAAGCACCTTAGCGAGCTCCTCCCACTTGGAAACGCCGCTAAGCCTGCCGTGAGGACCACCAGCAGGCTTTTTAAGGTCTCCATTTCTAAAATATATGTAAAATACACGAAAAATTAGAACTTGATATTGAAGAATTAAAACTAGTATTAAGAAACATTCAATAACTTAAAAGATATGAATTAATACTTGCTTACCTTTCCATAAACTCTACCATCACTTAATATTGCGAGTAACTTGTCTTCGTACACATTTTTTAATGTTTTTCATTTAAAAATAGTACTAGTAATCGTCTTATAACAAACTTGCTTGAAATGGCGGGACAATTACTTTTTCTTAGCTGTCAAAAGACCGAATGTATATCTATTTCATTCTTTTAGTCGAGAGTAAGAGAGAAAGACATATCAGTGTGAACATCTTACATTCGTTCGTAGTCTATGCTTCTCGTAATACGTTTTCGAGAGCTCGTTCGGTCCAAATTAGACACTCGTACTACCAACTTCTCGAAATCGCAATCTTTTTACGTCAGCTCGAAAACTTTCAACGTCTTGTCGCTGGGGAAACTCATACTAAGGGTACAGGTGTGTAACACATTACGTTGGACAGGGTAGATGCAGTACCATTTCACGAAAGTTCGATGTAATTCCATGACGTTATAAACAGCCTTATGAAATAATTAAAAAAACTTTGAATTGAGTTGATCTTAAGACTCACAAATTTTAAACCATAAATCAATGGTTCTACAGTGGTTATAATTTATTAGTCTGGGGACCCCATTTTAGTTTCTTTTAAATTTAATAATTACTGCGTACTTATTAACGAATATATTCTCATACGTTTTTAACTATAAAACTGCCATTCTGCCGTACAAGCAAATTCAAATCACGATTTTTTTTTAGGTAATCAATCTAATTTAAATTATACCTATTAATTAAAAAATCATGGAATTATATTTTCTCAAACCGTCATTTGTTGAATAGTTATAGTGTTTTTTATAAAATATAGGTAGTCACTGTTTGGTGGTCTAACGCAGGTGTAATTCATTATAGGTTCTTACCAAACGTAAACGTAGGTCTCCAACCTACAAGAGCTAGGGTCGGAATGTCGCCGTCATTCGCTGTAGGCGCTCACCAAACCTTCCACCTACAAACTTCTAATTTTTCCAAAGTTTGGATAACTTTTTAGCGAGAAAATAAATTAATACCAGAGAGGCAGTACAAAATGCCTATGAAGAAGTTGTTGGCTCCAGACTACCTGATTTCTTCAAGAAGAAGGACAAGAAGGGCTAATATGTAAGCTACCATTGCGTTGGCAATAATTAAGCATCGATTGCAAGTGTGTTATATTTTGAAAAAATATACTTTATTTATTTAATAAAATTAAACTTTTATTTTGATTATTTGATTTTGATAGTTGAATATTTGACTCCGAATTATAAAGACCGACGTTTTTTAGCGTTCCGTAGTCAACTAGGAACCCTTAGTTTCGCCATGTCTCTTTGTCTGTCTGTCCGTCCACGGATAATCTGAACCTCGAACTCACCGCGATAATTTTTTGATAGTGTTAATATTTTCTAAAATAATCGCTTGAAAACATATAAAAGCGTCTTCCCCGCTTCTAATTTTTGAACCATAAGTTTAGAAAATATGCAAATATGTAGGTATCTTAATACTTTCTAGGAAAATTATTTTGAACTTGATTGGTTGAACTGGTCGTTTTTGAAATATTGTGCATAAAAATCTGTACTTGTATTGTAATTTAACAATACAAGTACAGATTTAATTTACTACGAGTGCCAGTACATTATTATAATATTATATAGTGATCACTAGGTTATAGCTGTATCTTGGGGCCCCGTTATATTATTACTTATTAAGTAATTCATTATTAACCCCTTGTCTGCCGGTATATGAGACACCACAGAAAACAAATTGTTTCTCGCATATATCTGTGCGCCGGCTATCACGAGTTAAAATTGGTTTATGCAATCCAAAATTACCACGAAAAACTTAACGTACATAACCTGCCTGATTACTATAAATTATTAACCCAATTCCCTAAGAGATGGCGCTATACTCTTGCTACTTCTCGCTTTATTGCGATGTTCAGATTTCTCTTGAGATAATAGGCTCGGGACGGACGGGTGAGCTCTAATTTTGCTTTCGCCCACCTCCACCGGCACACGCGTCGCCGCCGCCGCCCCTGCAACGGACGTCGCCACCACCGTATCGAAGGTCCCCGCCGCCGGCAACACTGTTGCCCCCGCACCTGTAAATGTATCCATCAAAGGGCTGCCTGTGGACACACCGGTGACAACCATAAGAGGAGATGCGCGACACCGGCTACAACGCCGAATACGTCCGCCCCACCCGTGCGCGTTAGGGACGACCTGGGTGCCTTTTCTACGCCCAGTCGGCGCGCACCAAAGACATTTATGGAGTAACAGAGTTGCTTTGCATGCACGGTATCAAGATAGAGGCATGGCGGGGCAAAAAGGGCCCTGCGCAGTGCCACCGCTGCCAGCAGTGAGTGTGATGCGGTGATGCGCACCCGGCCAGCGAGTGTTCCCGCCCGAAGGAAGAGCCCGCCGACCTGCGCGAACTGCGGAGGCGTCCACACGGCGAATAACTCGTCGTGCCTGGTGTTCCACCGCGAGACGCGCAACCCTAAGACGGGCACAGTGGCGCGCACCATCTCCGCCACCACATCGAAGCCAGATGCGGCGCCACCAAAGGGCGAGTTCGACGCCCCTGACTCACTTAAGGCCGCAGCCTCTCAAGATCAGCGAGAAGTAATCCCTTAGTGCTAAATGTCCTGTCTGCCTTGAACAAGTTTCCGTCATACAGCACCTATTGTGGGAGACATTCCATCAGCCCAGACAGGTGCCCCGCAGCGCACACATCCCAGGTAGGTAGCCCAAAAGATACCCCAAGTTGCTTTCGAGATTAGCGTCAACGCATACAAGTTATTTTGGCTTTCTGGTGCTCAATGAAAGGTAAGTTTTTTCCAGGATTAGACCGAGATATCAAACTGACGCTTTTCGCCATGCGGAACCGTGGCTGAATTTAATAGATGGCTATAATTTCAGATTTCCATTGAGCAATAAGTAAGCGCAAAAGCTAGGCGATTTCGTTCGGCCCATCTCGAGATCTTATTTTCAAGCGCGGGTATTTCATGCACAATTAAAAGACCATCATCGTCATATCCAGTCAAGCAACAGCCACATGGCATACAAACAGATCCTCAAAACTCAAATTTCACAGATACGGGTCTGTAACCGAACCCTGGGGATGTCCCATGAGATGTCCAATTATGACTTCGACCGAAATAATAGCCGAGTTTTAATTTTACCGAACCGTGGACAAAGTACTTGTATATTAGTATATATATATATGTTACTAAAGCAGCTACGGTCCTTCATTTTCTGACATAAAATTGGCTACCACGCGTTGTCAAGGGCTACTACATACACATTTTTCCCAGGTACATTTTTTATGATTCGGACAGAGAGAGCCGCGTCTAAAGACGATTCACCTATAGTAAAAACGAATTAATTGTGAAACTTCGGTCTCTCTTGAAGTTAATGTGTAACGATAAGTTTTCCTGTGGATGGTAGATAATAGTGTAATAGGCCAGGAAGTTTCAGGGTCATAGGACAATCGTCCCTCTCGGAAATATCGTCAGGAATGAGAATATCGAATAGGACCTCCGTTATATCCTTAATACTAATAGTATAAACAAGTGACAGATCTATTGGCTTCTAACTCATGGTACAAAGGAGACCACAGACCCTCCCTATCTAACCTCTCCACTTCTTTCTGTAGAGACTCACCTTCAGCTTTAATTAATTACATTTATTAAAAACTTATCCACATTCATTATAATAAAAATAAAATCCTCAATAATTTAAGTAAGAATATTCTTTTACTTTTTTATTTCTTAACAATAATAACTCTACGCCCAAGCAGTCTTAATTTATTAATATCGACAGACACCTTATAAAAACAGGTGGGTAACTTGCGTAGACCTTAGCCTCAGTACTTCATAATACTCTGATCTACGAGGCATCAAAAAGTTAAAAAAATATTTTTACTTTGTGTCGGCTAAAAACTCATTTTTAACTATTTTGTTTTTGGATCTGTTAAATACAATAGTAAAAAGCAAATCATACGTGTTGCCAATTAAAAAACACAGTGGAAACGTCAACTGTATGAAAAATAAAATGTCGTCGTGGAACCAACTTGCTTCGATATGATTGGTTGAAACCTACGGTCTAGTTATCGTTTTCATTTCATCGTCTATCTCTTTCTTTCCGTGCCCACCAAAAAGCCGTCGAGTGCGGTTTATACATCTGTTGTTAACTTCGGATTCTGATTCATTAGTTTTGTGAAATATTTAGTTTATTTGGACCATAACTATTCCAACTAATCAACAAGTAAGTTTCTGTTATATTCTTCCAATTGTTTAAATATTACAGACTATTATAACCTAAAAATTATGTCGAATTTTGAAACTTTCATCTGCCGCCTCAATCTGCCAACGAAAATTTATATAATCCTTGCAATATTTTATTATTTAAAAAACTTAACGTTAAATGGAGTGATTAAGAGATAACATTTATTTAATCACTGATGTGAAATTGGTCATAGTACCATTCATTGAACACAATTGCCACGAAATATTCATAACCTGACTATTATCCCATTTTGGCTTTATGAAAAAAAATGTTTTGTGTAAGCATGCATAGTTCGTTGTAGTTAATATTTATAATTACTTATCTATACCTTGTAGACAAAAGGCAGAAATTTAGTAGTGAGGTATTTATAAACAGTCCTATCAGAACTTTACTAGCAAAATAAGATAATAACACAAAAATATAATGTTTCCAGAATGTCGAACTTAGTACATGAAAAGATTTGGTTGGACAAAAACATCTATGGTGATGCTGAACGAAATTATTATGAGTCTTTGTCTAAGGTAACTTTTGATTATTCAATTATTTGGTATAACTTTAAATGTAAATCTTAAATTCCATTATAGTATTGTACCACTAATACAAGTATAAAACATTATTATGTTAAAACTTTGTAGGTCCAAGCTACTCCACTTTCAGTAGCTCGATCTTCTTTGGCCAGCGAAGTTGCTAAAGCTAGACAACATATCAAAGAATCTTTAGAATGTGTGAGTAAACAAAACTGTATTTGATAAAAATTCACACATTTTTAGTAAAGTTTTATGCTCCTACATATTTTGTATTTATTTTGTTTGTCTTTTGTATAATTTTTAGTTTAGTTTAATGACTCAAGTATTTTATTTTGAAGAAGTTACTTGTAGCTGTAGATTTGTAGTCATGTAGTTGTGCTTTTAACCTGCAAAAATATAAGGCCTCACAAAAGTTTTTAAACAATAATTTAAAATTGCAGATGGACAGTGTCGCCACCTTGGCAGGAGTTCCTAACACAGAGCTGACTAACAAAGTCAACACTCTGGAGAAAGAAAACAGTGATCTGAAGAAGGCAATCAATGATTTACGCAACCTTGTAATTAGCCTTCAAGTAAGAGTTGAAACTCTGGAATCAACAGGTGGTGCCAAAACTCAATCTTCTAAAGTAAGTAATTTAACAAACATAAAATTTAAAAAAAAATAATAATTTGTAAATTAAAGAAGTTATTTTAACCATGCATATTTCATTTAGGCACCAGCACCTACACCTGCTGCAGCACCTGCTAAAGCACAAGACGATGATGATGATGATGGAGTTGACCTATTTGGTTCTGATGATGAAGAAGAAAGTGCTGAAGCTGCAAGAATAAGAGAGGAACGTCTTGCAGCATATAATGCCAAAAAAGCCAAAAGTGAGTGGTAGTTAAGTAAAACAAACATTTGTGAACAAAGAGACCTTTTTTCTGAAATTAATTATTTAGGAACTAATTCTAACCATTCATTGTATATTTTCAGAGCCAGTTCTTATCGCCAAATCTAATATAATTTTGGATGTAAAACCTTGGGATGATGAAACTGATATGGCCGCTATGGAGAAAGCTGTGAGGGATATTGCCACTGATGGTCTTTTATGGGGAGCAGCTAAGCTTGTACCATTGGCATATGGAATTCACAAGCTACAGATATCTTGCGTTGTTGAAGATGACAAAGTTTCTGTTGATTGGCTAACTGAAGAAATTGAGAAACTTGAAGATTTTGTAAGTTAAATGGATTTGTCAGAAACATTTTTTGACTTTTCAGAATTAATAATTACAAATAATACAATTTGTTTTTTACAGGTTCAAAGTGTGGATATTGCAGCTTTTAATAAAGTGTAAGAACTTAAAAAACACAAGAATTTAAAATTGAACTGATGGAATAAATGTGCCTTTTTTAATATATTTTTTTAATTTATTCATAAAGTGAAGTCTTCAGTGAATCTCAAATATGAAGTTCTATACATAGTTGTGTTGCTTTATTGTTGTAATGAGGACTAGAATTCTATCCAGTAGAAATGGTTTTAGCAGTCATCTAAACATTATCACGTTGCTAACACCCATGTGATGCGTTGACAAAACGCAGCTTATAGAAAAATAATAAAATCGAAGTATTAATGAAATTAGATACATCTTATATGATTAGATCCCAAATCGGTAAAACCCCATAACTGAGTCTCCACTGTCCGTCCATCCTTAGGTAATGGTATGGATGTAACTATATGATAATAATAAGTATAAAAATTAAACCCCAACTACGACAAAAAACTATGCTGAAAAAATCGCTGTTACATATACCTGCCTTTTTTTGTCAGGGGAAAATAAAAAGGGTAAAGCGAGATAGTGTCAGACTCTTACTGACTAAAAACCCCCCATTCCTTCTGCTCTGGGCCGAGGCCGCGGTGACTCATTGCTGTTAGCCCGCAACCCCGGCTGAACATCAGCCCTATAGGGCCCCGTCTGTGGTGGTTCTATTGGCTCTTTGAGGCACGCGCGGAACGCTACGCGCCGTCCGCTCGGGTTTGGATCTGGTCGGGCGGAAACGCCCTTACGGTGGCCAGCGAACGTCTCTCGATTCTCAAATCAAATCATTTCAAATAGACCAAAAAGGCACTTTTGAACGTCAAGTCTCGACGCCCGGATTGTCCCCTACTGCGGCGGCTGGGGCGTGAGGAGGATAGTTCCCTCACGCGCTCCGCCTCCTCTTTTGCGAGCATCACTGCTTCGTATCTAGTTGTCAAAAACCAGGGGTGTTAGGGAGCTCCGTAACCGTAACCGAAACTATCGGATATCCGATATAAAAAATCAACCGTAACCGAATCCGAAATTAAAGTTTCGGATAGTATCGGATAAGGGCGGAGCCTAATTGAGACACGTTATGACAAGTTGTTTTGATCGGCCAGCCGCTGCCAGTGCCGAACTGCCGACACACAAGCTGCGCGCATTGTTTGTTTATTTTTCTTCTTTGACAAATGTGTTGGTTGTTACGGAATCGATTGAATTTGTATAAAATACGTCCTAAGTCGAGTGCAGTTTGGTCGTTTTTTGATGAAATGACCAATTCCGCAAAATGTAAACAGTGTGGTAAAAGCTTTTCAAGGAAAGGAGATAGGACTACATCGCTAAAACTTCACCTTAAATCACAACATAGTGATAAGTACGAAGAATTTTACTTTTAAAATTCCTTAAAAATATAATATCCGTAACCGAAACTAACGGATAATCCGAAATAATTTATTATCTGTATCCGGTATAATAATCATTCCTATATCCGTAACCGAAATTTCATATCCATAACATCCCTGTCAAAAACCTAATTGACATTTTGTCTGTCATCATTGTCAATTGTCATTGTCATTTACACGTTGTTCACTGTCGGTGTAGCGATTTCCATTATTTTATTCCCTAATGTAAACTAAGTATTATTATAGCCGACCAGTACTATTAAATAAACATGAACTGCAAAAAATGTTATTCTCCTAGTACGGTGATATTGAGAAAGAAAGATTATTATTGTGATAATTGCTTTATGTTAATTACTAATCATAAGTTCCGTGCATGTCTGGGGAAAAATAAGGTCTTAATACCTTATGAAAATGTAATGATTGGGCTCTCAGGGGGCGTGGGATCTACAGTTTTATTAGATTTAGTTCACCATGCTACGTCTCTAGAAAACACTAAAAAGCTACGGATATCTCCATTCTGTTTACATTTATATGGTAAGTTATTTAAAACACATGACCATCAGCTATTGTATATAATACATACAATTATTTCATATTTTAAAATGCCTATATAATTTAAAAATTATACAGAATAATAGTAACATTGTATGTTGTTTTTATTTATAATATTCATGCCATTGTTATTTAAACCATTTCTTCAATTCATTCCAGATGATGATAGCAGAGAATTAGCAGAGTCTATAATTAAACAATGTCAAACATATAAAATTGATGTATTTGTGGTACATCAAGCTGTGTATATAAATTCTAAGTATGAATTACCTGAAGCAAACACTTTACAAAAAATTTGTGAAAGTGAAAGGAGAGACTTTAAGGATTTAATGAACAGCATGCCGCCATCAGCAGCTAATGATTTTTTACTGAAAATAAAACGCATTCTCTTAGTTGAGTTTGCAAAGAAAATTAACTGCAGTGTTGTTTTTACAGCAGAAACTACTAATACTTTGGCAGTTAACTTACTTACTAATTTAGCTATTGGCAGAGGATCACAAGTGCAATATGATGTTGTAAGTTTATCTGTATGTTTTCTATTGAGCCTGCATTGTTGTGTATTCAAGCAACTCATATTTTAACACCCTTTAAAAGAGGAGTTTGTCAAATTATCCATAGGTAAACTAACAAATTTAAAAGTTTAGTCATATATATGTTAGTACAGGGCTTCTTTATTCCTAAGTTAAACAATTTGTTTAACTTTGATTGGTAGTAGTGACTTGTATACTTATATACCAATATTATAAAGGGACATGAAAAGGGGCTAAGGATGAAAAATGTGTGTAGAACACATCAGTGATCAATTAATTCATGTTTGGAGGGAGGCCAGTTTCCGTTGTTGTGGAAGACAGGTAAACTGGTCCTCGTGAAAAAGCTGGGGCGTCCTTCGGACTCTCCATCCGCGTACCGGCCCATTGTGCTGCTCGACGAGGTTGGAAAACTGTTCGAGAGGATAATATCAGACCGCCTCATCGGGAAACTGCCGGGAAGGGGGCCGGATTTAGAGGATGGGCGTCCGTCATCTACCCCGATCACCGAGGCGGTGGAATCGGCGAATCGCGTAAAAATATAATTATTGATTAATAGTAACAAATTAATTTTCAGGGATTTTGTGACAATCGCGACGACAAAGTGAAAATCATAAGACCCATAAAAGACATCAGCATTGAAGAATTGAATTACTATGTCTCCATAAAGCAGTTAACTCCAGTTAATTATAATCATATTAAAAGTAAAAGCTTACAGTCTGTAATCTCTTCATTTGTGTCCGAACTTCAAGATAATTTTCAAGCCACTATATCTACAGTTTGCAAAACTGCTGATAAAATTGGAGATCAGAGGGAATCTATTAATAGCGAAAAATGCTTAATCTGCGAGGTACAACAATTTTTTCCTCCTAACTTAATAATAAAAATAAAAATGGATTGTATCATTAATGAATAATTATTGTTGTTTATTTTTTCAGAGTGACCTAGATATGAAAAACATGAAAATGTCGGCATTTGAAGCAACAAATGTATCAAGAATAGTGTCGCTTAAAGACAGCCAAGCAGATCCAACTTACCAAGAGACATCTGATATCTTACATCACATGCAAAATAACACCAACACTTCCGTTTTCCCACTCATAAATAAATATCTTTGTTATGGTTGTAGCAGGAACCATTCAGAAATGAATCTACATAAATTACCAAACCAATTACAAAAAGCTTTAAGAACAAATAATCTAGGAATATAATGTAATTACTTTATTTACTTGGCAATTTAAATAGAAAATAAAAAATGTTTCAAATTCGTCTGATCATTATTCAACAGAAAGATTAATTATTATCATTTTGAATTATTCATCCTCAACATGAAAGCAAATGTGCACCTTATATGTATATGGGATGTCGCCTATTATAGTGCCCATCTCAAGAATTTAATGGGCCCATGAATTTAGTACCCTGAATTCAATTCAGATGGGAAAACAATACAAATAACGAATTTTGGCAATTTAAAAAATATATAATTAGGTCACTTGGCTTGCCCTAAATAAATTTTGTCGACTTTTTCAAGGAGGTTAATTCTATAGATATTGTATTGATAGAAATATTTGTCGTTGATCTTTCGTACATTTCGTCGAAAATATAGGGCTGTTTATAACGACGATGACTACCTATCCGTAACAATGAAGAACAGCGCCATCTAGACGTGCGTTTATGTCTAGATGGCGCTGTTCTTGTCTTCAGTATTTTAGTATGAATCCTAATTGCATCATAGTGCAACATTTACCCAGAATGTATATTGAATACCCCTTAACATTGGGATACGTAGCAATCCGGGGCAGTTCAAGCATATTTTTTGAACCCTTTTTTGCTTTTTTAGGGATAAAAATCATCAAATTCCGTCTTCCAGGCTGAGACAGGAGGACACTTCGGCCATATTACCACCGCGTTTCTTCTCCAGGCAGGGGCTACAGTCTATTATTGAGCGTGCACCCACATATGCTATTGTAATTGGCCCCTACTCATATTTTTTTTTAATTTTATTTTAATATGTTCGTTATTTCAAAATAACCATTAAATTCGATAAAGAAATTGTAACATAGCTATTTCTTTTTTGAGGAGGAAAAATATTAACTACCTATCTAAATTTTCTCGTCCAGGGCGAGGCTAGAGAGTGTCACTATTGTCAGTAAGAGTAAAAGCAGCCCCGTTCCTTTTTCTGTTCTAGGCCGTCGCGGCGATACCTTATTTTTTCCGGTTGATTATCACTTTTGATTATTGTAGTACTTAGTCATCCTAATATGACCATTACCACATTAGTGCTATACAATTGTCCTATGTATAAAAAATATGTACCTAATGCAAAATATCACTTTAAACTCCATTCAGTACAGGGGTCAAGGAAGCAGGGAGAACTTTGCCAATGCAAACCCAAGCCCCCTTATTACAAAACAAGATTTATCTTTAGGTTTAAACCATTGAGTCAGGTTTTGTATTTGAATCTTATTCTCACCTACAAAACAATGGCTCCATGATTTAGACCTAGACTAAAAAACCTTGTTTTGTAATAAGGCCGAAGATGTCTAGACGCGATGTATTTCGTATTCCCTGGCACTTGAGGCCGCTTCTGCTTCGCACGGAAGTCCTCGAGTTTACCTCGCTAACGACGAAAAAGTCGCTAGGTAGGTACTTCCCAATTTTCTTCTTTGGTTTTTTAGCTAGTTTCTTAAGATCTTTTTTCTGATAATAACACAAGAATCGGCAAAACTGCTCCAGACTTTCTAAGAGATAAGCACTTACCCAACACATTTTGCCATTTATGTTTAACCAAACAATCTATAAGGATATGATGTTTTGATCTTTGACCATAAATAATCCAAAACATTTCCAGGCAAAGTTAGTATTGTTTATTCAGAAAATTTTATGCAACAACTTGGAGTTATCACACTATAAAATAAATTATACTCAATGAGGCTCACCTTCAAATTGAAGATACGATTTGATTTTCTATTTATAATATTTATGAGGACAGCTAACATAACTTATTAAAAATATACTAATAGAAAACAATGTTTAAATCCGACAATATCTAATAATGTTAGAATTAGCTGGTTTCTTTTATAAAATACGTAATAAAAGAAAACGATTAATTAATCATCTTAAAATTTTGTATTTATATCACACATATCTACATTTTACTTCTATTACATAAATACAAAATTTTAATAAGTAAGAGTACCAACGAAAAGCTGCTAACCAGTATTTGCAAATGGTATGCAGGTGTTACCAATATATTATACAAGTAATTACAATATCAATACCATAGGTTAATAAATGCAAAAGATCAAGTGCAATGAAACTCGATGCATTTTTCTCTTTTTCAATAATCATTATCGAATTTCATATAAAAATTGATGTTGCGGAATTTACTTTGACAATTTGAACCCCTCCCACCACAAATTACCTACTCAGCTTGAGTACACGAGCACTTTCACAAATGTATGTCAGCAGTTTATACCAGAGATAAAAACACTTTAAAACAATGAATAAACCAGATTTACTAATATTAAACACTAAATTATATTGTCTTTCCAAATTATTCCATTTATCAAGCATTGGAATTATATCAGTGTTTGTTAAACAGAATTGGTGTCCTTCACTGTCCCTGTGTATGTATTTACACCTTCAGTGGCCTCTTTTTGGTGTTATTTTTACAGTGTTTTCTTCCGGAATCTTGTACAAGTATATCATATCAATACATTATAAAGAGAATTTGTCATCTCTTTTTAACAATTATTCTGTAGTACTTATTGGTCCTTGCAATGCATTAGGAGTTGGAGAATTGGAAGAAACCATTCGTCCTTGCTCCTTTACAATTGGATCTGAAAAAAGGAAAATATAAATACACATTTTGTATTTCAACAAACAATATTTAACCATTTCTAGAATAATAAATAATTAAAATAATACATTATCTACTTTCGTGTCGAAAAGGTGTTATAATTTAAACTTTTGTCAACATCTCGAAAATTTAAACCAGTCCTTTCAGTTAAATACAACATCTGGTTTGTGGATACAATTTTATACTTATGTTCATTTTGATACTTTAATAGTATGAAGGGCTATGAATAATTTACATTTATAGACATTATTATATATTTATTTGTGGAATGCAAGTAACAGGATAGGGTTGCAAATATTCTATTTCCTAATATAAGATGAAGAAGTTATTCTATCGCTTAGGTTGCCTCTAAATAAACAGGGTCCCAAAACAATAACAAAAAATCAATCCTTATCAAAAAGTAGAAGTAAATAACTTACAGAAGTAGGGATGATCCATTGCCTCACGAGCAGTATATCTCTCATAATGATCATAGCGTAGAAGGCGATCTAGGAAATCTAATGCTTCAGGCGATACCAAGTGTTGGTTTTCAGAGTGGACAAAACGCTCCCATCGTTTACGAGAATGCCTAGAAGAAAATATTTCAATATGATGACAATAATAATTACAATATGATGCCATTAGACATTACATTACTAAAAGCAATTAACATGACTACATACCTGCCAAGTATATCATTAAACCGAGGATCCAATTCTATATGATATTTGTCCAAATATTCAAATAGCTCTTCAGTGCCCAGCACTTTAGCAATACGCACAAGCTGATCATAATTGTCATGGCCATGGAAAAATGGCTCTTTGCGGAAAATCATTGATGCTAACATGCATCCTAGTGACCACATGTCCAAAGAATAATCATACATTTGATAATCCACCAAGAGCTCTGGACCCTGTAAAATATTGATTTTAAGACATTAGTGTAGTTATTAATTAAATTAAGTTGAAATACTATGATAATAACTGGTATCATTAGGTAGTCAACCAATTAGGAAAAGTTTTTGAAACTCAATTAATTACACATTGGAAAATGTAGACTATAAAAGTGAATAATAATACCTTAAAATATCTAGAAGCCACTCGAACATTATAGTCTTGACCAGGGTGATAGAACTCGGCTAGTCCCCAGTCAATTAGACGCAACTTTCTGTGATCATGGTCAATCATCACATTGTGTGGCTTCACATCTCTATGCATGATGCCCATACTGTGGCAATAATCTAATGCCTTCAGCAGTTCATACAAATAATATCTGAAATAAAATAAACATAAGTGCTAACATAAAGTAACTGGTTAAATTATATCAGTTTGATATTATTAACAATACAGTTACAAATTGTAGATTTACCTTATATCATAATCTGACAGAGTTTGATACAGCTGTTTAAAATCAGTATTGTTGACATGTTCAAAAATTAGTGCTGGAGTACGAGAAACAGGATCTTTGACTACAGCTTGTAAAGTAATAATATTTGTGCCTCCTCTTAAGTTTTCTAATATTTTTATTTCTCTTTTAATCTTCTTCTTTTTAACAGGCTGAAATTAAATTCTGTGGTTAGACCAAAAAGTTGTGTCTTTTCATAAGAATCCTATAGTAGGGCATTTTCATTTGATTATGCACATAAAGTAAACAATGATGAGCAAGGTTTCTATGGCTTTAGAAGTAATATTGTGACTCACCTTCAATATTTTAACCACACACTTCTCGTTATTTGTGATATTTATTGCCTCAAACACTTCACTGTATTTTCCACGCCCAAGCTTACGCACCAACTGGTAGTCTTCCTGGTTGCCCCAATCAACCACATAGCTTTCATAGTCCCAGTATTCTCTCGGACGCTGTGAGTTGACATCGGCATATACCCTCGCTCTACTTGGTACTGCCATCGTCATATGCCTTCGCCAATTTAAACTTTTATCTGCGATAGTCTTTCCGGAAATCGCGTATGTCTTGAATAATGATACTGCGAATAAATATTTTCTACGTCACTTTCAAACATTCATGTTGGTGAAGAACTCCAGTTAATTGCAATGTGTTCATGCATAATGATTCGACCAGACGAATCGAATCATAGGCGGTTATGATTACAAGTCACTATTCAATTAAAGTATTGTGATGTATAACCTAAAAACGACATCCAGCTACGATTACTGTCCAACTAACAAAATTATTGAAGCACGTTCTTCAACAATGAAGACATTTACATAAATATAGATCACACGAGTTATATGTTACTATTCATAGGATCTGACGACATAGAATAAAATATGAAAGTGTCTTCAAAGAGAAAAACGCACGCCATTACTCGTCAAACGATTAAATGTTTTAGCAGACGTTCATACCTAAAACATAACTGCAGTTAATCCTATTTTAAACAATAAATAGTTTCGGCATACATAAAACTTTTTGAAAACTAACGATTAATATTAACTCCAAGCTACAAAATACACTTTTATTAGAACTAAACCGGCTCAAACCCAGTAAAATTTCAAGATGGACGCCCACCTATCCACTACTTTACTAAATTACTACCTACCCTACCAGTACTACCAGCATCATTATAATTACCAATGTTGCCACGTATTTTTATATTCACAACCAAACGGAGTTTATAAATATAAGTCTACACTTTCCAGAATCAAATATTTGATTATTTGTTGTTTACTATTGACTTAGATACTATGTAATTTTCCATAAATTCTTCTTGTATATTTGTTATTGAAGTATTGAAATAAAAACAAACATGAAAAGACTTACAAAATAACTAAATTAATATTAGTAGGTTGTTTCTTTTGTTATGTTTAGACGTGGCACAAAAATTGCATTATACATTTACGACACAACAAACTGTTGAGCCATTAGTTATGCTATACTTATTGTAGTTATTCAAATTAAATTTATAAAAAAATATTAGATGGAATCGATTCATTTTAAAGATATTATTATCGTGATCTTTCCCAAGTCTACCAATTAAGAAATGGAATCAGCGCGGCAGCGTTCGGATATAAATCCTGTTTAATTCTGACCATGAACAGTATTTAATATTCCAATTTAATACAAATTGAATAATTATGTTTTGGTTTTCAATTTATTATTTGGTCTATTAAAATTTTTGAAAGAATATTTAGAAACTTTAAAATATTTTGATAAATATTGATGTTGTTATACAAATTAGAATCACAAATTTTACTGACTAAAAAATAACTACATGTACGGTTTTTTTATTATTTCATTTACTTACCTACGTAATTTAAAACACATATTTCTTCAACACACACACTACAGTGGCGCCACCTATTAATCGCTGTCTAAAAGACACCATTCCTATTAGTTAGAACAGTAGAGTTTATATATTTTTTGCTATTAGTCGCAGTTTGATTCCCACACAAAATGTATTCTGCTTATCATTTTTCCATAAATGATTAATAATCCTTATAATATTCATGAAACAACTGCTTGTGCCCGACGACTGCTAGCCTCATGTCTTTCGAGTTGAGTTACCTAATTCAAGTCGAATGATGGTAAAAACCCTTTATATATTTATGTTTATTAATATAACTGTATTTAAGTACCCCGTAATTATAACCCTAGAACTTAAATATTGAATTATTGCGAATACTGCCTAGTAACAAATTCAGTATAAAGTTATCTACATTCATTCAATTCTTTCGCCCGAGGTGAGCGAGTGGCTAAAAACATCGTTCCTTCTTCTACTCCGAGCCGGGACCGCGGTACGCGGTACGATTTACGACTTACCTTTGAAAAATAACATCCAATATTTTAGGCACCTTATCGCCACCAATGCTAAACTTAACAATAAATCTATTTGCTTAAATTTAAACTTGTGCCTCAATAAGCAAAAGAAAAGGTTTCGATTTCAATTACCTGGTTGGGTAATATCATTGGGATTTCGATTTTCATTAAATTTAACAATAGCAAGGATTCAAAATTGTGTTAGATCATGATGTGTGACATTGTATATTTATCGATTTAATAAGTCGAATTAATAATATCTAAATATGCTTACCACACAATAAAAAAAATATGTATTTTTTCCTTCGTAAAATATAAGCTAACACCATGTTTACAGATTTATTTAAACCAGTTACTTTGCATAGTCGTTGAAGTATACTATAAAATGTATCGTTATTAAAGTTTGATACCAATAAAACACACCTACGCCGCCTTGTACTCAACTATTACGTCATTTACTTATAACGCAACTATACATAAACAGGTTTTTTGTATGTTGATCAATGAGTTAGAATAAGTTAAAAAATTCTTCAATGGCATTAAATTTTAATTAATATAAATAGGCATAGTACAAGGATAACTTAAAATATAAACAAGTTAATATGAACGATTTATCAAAACTTGCATAAGTACATAATACATAACAAACATTTTAATACTTAGCAAAAGTTAAATAACTACAATAAATACAGTTTCTTGAAGATTTTTTTCTAAGATATCTTAGTGATTCAATTTTGTCATTTAGATGCCCCCAAAAAATCAAACTATGGTCTAACATTTCATTAAGGAAGTGCACCAGGAAATAGACAAGTTAATATTTTTTAAATAGTTATTGCTTTTGAAATTAAATACAACTACACAATATATTTTTATAAAGTTACAATAATATTATATAAATAGTAGTGTATTAAAAAATATTGAAAAATCAAGTCCTAAAATCTAAATTTATGGCTAGCTAAGCAGCACCTATGGAAATAACAAAAAATATAATAACATTTAAGCAACTTGTTCAACTACTAATAGAGATGTGTTGTTAGATATATTTGAAACATTAAGATTTATGTCTTCCCCTGTAGTGGAGACGGAGAAGGCAGAACCAACTAAATAAGTTCCTGGGGCAGCGCAAACTCCTCGTACTTGTACTCTTTTAGATTCAAATTTGTCTAGATTGACGCTAACGCCTAGTTCCTTAGGTTCCACGTCGCTTCCATAGCTAAGCGCGCCAGCCCACCCGAGCTCTCCAGACAGCTCTCTGTAATATCAGATAAGTTATGTTTATTTAATGTTATTCTTAAGACCAAGCAGGCTGTGTTAATTTTCAAATAAAGTGATGAATTTAATAATTACCTATTCTTTTGTTTTGTCATATCAATAAATACTTTGACAGGAACTCCGTAGCAGTTGACAAGATTTAAAGTAATTGGAACCAAACATAGTTTCATCTCGTTGAAGTTATGGTTAATGTAATTGGAATGTTCCAATCTAAATATCACAACATTGTCTTTTTTGCTTTTGTTAGTTTCACGTACATCTAGTTTACTTTCAAATTCGTCAAGTGGGATGGGAACTTCTCCGGGAATATATTCTCTTTCTCGAGATATAGCTTTAGTAAAACAATCTAACCACAAGCAATGCTGACCAACTGCAGTCTTGCCTTTAGTTTTTTCATGTACTTTCCATCGAAGAACAAACATAGATTGTATCAACCCTGTTCTCTTTCCAGACATTTCTTGAGCTAAAGCTACGTCTGGCGCATCAATGTATGAATGCTGGCCATCGACCACAAATTTAGAGTAAGGAGGTTCATTAATATTAGCCATAGCGTCTGGGTGGTTCTCATTGATCTTAACACAGGTGTAATCGACTTTCTCCTCCGGGAGTTCTGACAGTATCCGTCGCGCTCGGAGTACAAAGTGCAGTTTCTCGCGCGAAGTTAACGGATCGGCTGCGCCCCGGGCCGCAACAAGTCCGGTTAGACGCCACTGTCGACTCAATAGCGACGCTTCTAACACTTCTACGGTTAAATCCTCGCCCTTTTCATTGAAAATATTTTTAACTTCAACTGCGAGGCTCATATTTTCAACAACCTCTCCATCGACATTTCGGAGGCTGCGTCGCGGGGTGACCGCCAATTCTACAGCTTCCTGTAAGAGAAAGCGTTACAGTAAGCATTCCTTTCTTTGGAACGATATACTCGTTCCAAAGAAAGGAATGCTTACTGTAATTTAAATAATATGAATACGTATCGTGGGGTACTCACGACTACTTTGAAGCGGAAGACATGTCTCAGCAGGCGATAGGGCCGCGCGCGTATGCCGGTCGTATAGTAGGCGAGCAGCAGCAAGGGTCGCGGCGCGCGCGGCCGCAGCTGGAGGCGGGCGCGCGCGCTGCGTGCGGGCGGCAGACTGGCGCGCAGCGCGCGGACGTGCCGCGCCGCCGCCGCGCGCCAGCTGCCCGTGCGCGCCGCGCGCTCGTCTGCGACACATGCCAACCACACCCGCATTACACCACTACACCTCAATTTTATTATTATTGCATCAAAGTACTTATGTGGAGTTTTCAGTCTTATGTCAAAATTTTCCAGCACAAGATAGAGCAGTGCTCAGACAATTTTGTGTTATCTACAGTTGGCGTTCTGGGTGTGATGAATATGCGTATGACTTTCAATGCAATCACGACAAAGAAGAAAATCCTAGATAGGGTAAACTTGCCTAATTCGTACCACTTAAGGAGAACCTCGAAAATTTTGAAAATGAACAATGATACACAGTTATTTATATTAAGTAGTTATAATTAAACTAATGTTCTATAAGTATTCCGATAAAAAATAACATAAATCTTATAAACTTCTGAGAAATAAACAATTTTCAAAAACTCAAAAAAAGTACGATTTAAGACCATTGGTCTTAAATCGTACCAGTATATTCTTAAATCGTACTTTGAGATCCTATCATTGTTTCACTGTCTTAAAAATCACAATCTTAATAATCTTCTACTCTTTTTAATCTTAATGTACCTAATTCTTATTAAGACAGCGGATGGTCTTTTCCAAATCTTGAAAGTCATCGCAGTAATAAAATTTAGTTTTTTTTAACTCGTCTTGCACATAGCTCATGTATACTTCACAATGACTGCATAAAATAATGTTTTTTTTTTGTTTTTATTAAATAAAAACACAAACTCAAAAATAATCAAGTAAGTAATTAATATTTACTGTGATATTAAACATTGTTTTCCTAAATCGTACGTATACGTACGTTTTAAGAAGTTGCTGCGAGTACGAATTAGGCACAAGTATCAAATGAATTTCAAATTAGCCGCAAAAAAACTGTCAACGAACAAGCCGGCTTTACCATGTGAAATATATTCACAAATATACGTATAAATATATAATAAACAGTTAAACAACTTATGAACGGTATACTTGGAAGACAGTTCTTGTGAAGTATGCAAAAAAATTACTCAAAAAGTGAGAAAAATCTTACCCTGTTCAATATTTTTGTCGGGAGCAACGTAACAGGTGTTTATTTGTCATATGGCAATCTGGCCGACTATTATTGACATTTTATGCCATCAGAGGCGCTGGTAACTATTACCCATGCCGAGATATAGACGAGGTACGATTTAGGCGCAGGTACGAATTAAGCAAGTTTACCTATATTATGGACAATTAAAGTAGATAATTCTGTTTTCGCATAATTACCTGAATATGAAGGTGGTTCACGGTATTTTTCATCGTACAATACTTTAAAATCATCCTCCTCGTCGCCGGTTATAAGATTTACGCAATCAGGATGCGATACAGCAATGAAGAGATCATTCATGTCCACGGGACCCACGTTTGTGAACTCTACGTCAACAGTTCTCATTTCGCCACTAATAATATCCGAACTAGTTTCCGAAAATGTCATCTAAAATACAAGATTACAATGTTTTAATGAATACTGATTATTTAAAAAATATTGTTCCTTCGGACTAATAGATCAGCAAATGAAAAAACTCAACTCATTCACTGTGTCAAATATTGGTATTTTTGACCATTATTTTACCCAGCGTTACAAAGCCGTCAGAATCAGTTTCTAATCAACCCTCTCTTATTATTAATAGTACCAGCATAACCTCCAGCATTTATGTCATCTAGGTATACTAAAAACTATATTATACTACTATATTATAAAGAGGTAGTAAGTTTGTATACTGGGGTTAATCTTTAGAACCGCTGGGCGGCTTGGCAAAATTGTTTCACTGATAGATAATAGCTACAATGTTCCTGAGTGATATAGGCTATAAAACGCCACGCTACGATCAAATGGAGCCGAGCAGCGGGTGAAACCGCGTGAGAGTAGCTAGTCAATCATATAGTACACTCAGATATTCTTAGTCAATTGAACTTATAGACGACACCTGAGACGTGTTTTGATTTCGTCTGCAGGCGTCTTTCTTCGTTTTTAAAAGTGACTAGCTTGTTTTCATTCAATTATTTTATTATTAGTTTGTAAAATCCTGTCGCGGCGAATCTCGCACAAATTCTACGCTCCGCTATTTTGGTAATAAGGACGGACAAACAGACACATTACACTTCTGTTGTTTCTGATATGAATTTAAATACACTATAATCACTTACCTGTAAACAAGGAGCTTCTGGGATGACAGTTATTTGTAATCGCTTATCAAGACTCTTTCCATCAGACACAAGATTCACCTTCCCTGATATAACAACGTTGTTCCCATTTTCAGTACCGCCTTCACCGGTATTGATGAGTCTATTTACATATTTTGATAAATAATTAATTCAAATTAATCAATTGCCAGTCAAATTCAATTTTACTAAATGAAAGTGTAGTCATAGTAATCCTGCGTTATTCTATTAGGGATATCAAAAAACTAAACTAGTTGAATGATATTTTGAAAAAATCGATTGTTAATATTGTGTTTGATTTTTCCATCATTTAATGCCATACTTATTTGTACATACACTATTTGGACTCTACTTTGTTTACAGATTATCACCTCTCTCATGTAACAAGTAACTGGTAAATTTTACTGAAAGGGAGTTTGTGAAAAATACTTTCTATGTAAGAATTCATCTTTGGTAGGTAGTAGCTATCTCGAGAATATTAAAAGAGCCGTGAAAATAAATCAATAATACTTACTTGTAAGCTAAGCCATGTATGTTAATTCGTCCAATTCTAAGGGGAGTGAGGGTAAAAATTAATACTTTTTTACAATCCCCTTCTAGAAGCACGGATTTAATTTTCTGGCTAACTATGACATTACTCTCTAAAGCTAGTCCAGCAGCGATAGCTTGTTCATTGCTCAGTACTTCTTCAGGATCGGCTGCACCGTCGGTATTTGTCATAACAAATTGCCACAATAGTTCTACATCTTTTAAAACTAACGAAATTTTCAATGGATTCCACAAAGTAACTGAAATCTGGATCGGTTCTGAAAAAAATATTATAGGATTATATCCATCATTATAAATTAAATGTAATAGTATTTTATGACTACAGAGTGATAAAATTTAAAACAAAGACAAATGCTGTTACTTAAAAAATCTATGGTACAATATTTAACATTTAACAACATTTAAGTGCTAATGGGGTCTATACCCCATTAGCACTTAAATGTGGATGAATTTTAAACTAAATGATATTTTTCGTATTTCTATTGAAATTAAAATACATACCTCCTTGAGGCACAAGCGGTTCGCAGTCGGTAGTATCTGAATAAAGGTCGACAGTGGGTTTGAATATCATTGGTACTGAGCCTTGTGCCACTTGTAGCAGCATTTCCTCGAGGGTACGCCAGGTGGAGGGCGCGGCGAGCTCCTCGTGGTCCGCGCCCGCGGCCGCCAGGCTCAGCGACGTCGCCGCGCGGCGCCGCGGGGAGCCCAGCGGCGCCGGGCCCACGCACAGCACGCGCGTCTGTCGCACCAGCGCCAGCGGCAGCGGCAGCGACTCCAGCCGCTCTCGGGGCTCCGTGCTGCTCTCCATCCATTGCTGTACGCATACACGTTACCACTATTACGTAGGATTCATGTTAGATAAGAAAGTAATGAAGTGTAGGCTACGCACGTGGTGCGCGAGCATGTACTCTCGCAGGAAGGCGTCCTGCTGGTGCGGCGGCTGGGGCCCGGCGGGCGCCAGCGGCGCGGCCAGCCAGCGCAGCGCGTCGCGCGGCAGGCGCAGCGCGCCCGCCAGCCGGCCCAGCGCGAACTGCACGTGGTCCGTCGCCAGCCGCCACCCACTGTTCTCGTACACCTCAACATAACAAACGTCACATCATGTACTTACCAAACTTAACCACACCATACCAATCGTAATTCTAAAAACCTAAGCATGCGTAAAACCCCACCTGGTAGGCTTGTTTGTAACATCGGTACGCATGCTTCTTCTGTCCGGCTTTTGAAAATCTATGGCCTGCTAACACCATATGGAAAGCGTACTTCCTGCACATGCCTTTAGAAGCAGGGCCGGATAAGAAACACAACGCTGCTTGTTCTAGTAGCATGGCACTCCGTAAATCACTGTCCTCCGACGTCATACGTATCAATTGTTTAGCAGCCTCTCCATGTAATCCTGATCCACTCAAGCATAGCACTGATAGCAAAGTGGCTCTTACTGCATACTGTACCATTCTACAACACAATAAAACATGCAAATAATGTTTTTAACATACCGACTATGTGCAGGATAATCAATCAGTATCAAGTTCCAAAGTATATTGAGAAGTAGAAGAAAACTTACCTACAGGTGTTAAGATATGTTACAATACTTTCTTCCATATAACCATGTGTTTTTCGGTTTGAATCACCAGCCATAAAGGCACTGATAGCTGCCATCTCAAGGGCGCCCGCATAACAAAGCCATGCACTATCAGCATAGAACTCCCTCTTTGCCGTGTGATAGGCGTCAAACGCTCGTTGCCATTGCCGACATAAGAACCATAAGTCGCCCAGTCGCCGTAGTTGTAATTCCGGACAGTCACTTGTATAACTAAAATAACTTTAAAATTGTAACCTACTCTTGTGCAACATAATATTAAAGAATTTTGTATCTAAAGATTAATTCCTTGAACATATAAGAGCAATGATTAATCCAGGCTCATTTATATAATAACATAGAAATTGCTTACACATGCAAGTATCTAGCATGTTGCTACTATTACTACAAGAACTTGCATAATGTAAATAAGGCTTCAGGGGATTTTAACTCACATGACAGCACTGTTGCCTGTTGTACTTCCTGCCTTTCCAGTACCAAACCATCGCTTTGTGGCTGATAATAATGATCTACTCACGCCTTTCCTGTTTGCAACCTGAAAAATATCAATGAAGTGGTAAATGTCTACAGTTGCTACACACTTAGAAATTAATACATTCAACTTTCAATCGTGTTTATTCCAAACACATGATGAATTAAGAAGTATGGTATCTTTCTTATCAAAGCTTAAAATTTAAAATAAAATATATGATAAAAATTTTGTAAGTGAGCAAATACAATTTTAGTGAGTGAGCAAAAGTAAATAAGAACTATTCTAATAAATAATAATGCAAACAGACATTACCATTACTTCAAGTTACAACAAAATGAATTTAAAACAATTTGGTAACTCACAACTTCAGATAATTGCGATATTTGTTTTTCCAGATAGGGCAATAATGCTTTTGAAGCATACTCCTGCAGGAACTTCTTGATACCTTCAATATCATTTGCATTTAAAGCTGTACCATGAACTTCTGTTGAGTAATCGAGACCTTTCCCAGCCACATTCATGCTTTCTGAACTACCAGAGAAAGAATGAGTCTGAAACAATAAAAACATATTAGTTTTTGTAAACATTCTAGAGATTTGTTGATATATTTTAAAAATAAATTTCTATGGCAATAGATTACGAAACTCAGTCAATGTATAATAATAATATATAATGAAAAAATAACAAATAATTGCACATTTATCTAAAAAATCTGATTTTTTTTGTTTTTTTACTTTGTGATTTATACTTATCAAAATTATAACTTTATACATATATTGTATTATGTACTGTATATATGTTTAGTAGTTTGCCTGACAACCTGTAGGCTATTTGCATTATCATAAACATCAGTTTCTGAAGTTGTGAGAGGATGAGAAGTGTCTGGATTCATCACTGTACTATTGTCATCTGGAAAATAAATAAGAAAATAATTTCACACAAGGAAAACTTATAAGTTTAAATCAACTAAAGTGTCAAATTTTAATAGTGGCTGACTGATAAATAATTATATTAACCTTGTATGTTTGTTACAGTTATTGGGAATGTTGATTGAGGTTCAGCTGGAGTAGTAGGCAGGTTTGTAAGTGATGTTGACATCTCATTCTGGAAATTAGGTTATAATATGTATTTAGGATTTATTTAAAACATCATCAACAAGATTATCAAAATGTGGATATTGGTTTAATACTTACATTTCCTTGTGATGATCTTTTGACAAACTGAGCCCACAAATCAGTTGGGACATTCTGATCTAATGTACTTTTAGAATTAATTGACAACATAAAACAGTTGCTAGCTCCAAATGTTTGCTTCAAAGTTTCAAAAGAAGCATCTGCTCTGTAAAAATGACAATTAATGAGAATATTTGCATGAAAGCAACTAACAAAGAATATATTGCATACTACACTTACTTTTCTTTAGGCACAGCAGATACATCATGCAGAAGAAGATAAGACTTTAAAACACTATTGTTGAACCACTTGGGTAATTTTGGAGGAGCAACATTTTGTAACATAGCATATTGTTGGTTTAAACTATTAAAGGTGTCAATTACATTTTCATCTAATGTTGTACCAACTATAATACAAGATATGAAATGTTTGGTGAATTCGTGGTCTGAAGGAAATTGTACTTCCAAGTATGTTTCTCTCCAAGCATCAAACCAATGAGTTGATTGTGGAATATCAAATTTTCTCCCCTCTGCAATAACACATATAGGCATTATTTTAAACATACAGATTGACATCTGACATTACAATTATATTAAAGCATTACTTGTTTAACTTCCTAACAAAACTTTGCTTCAGTCACAAATATAGGGTATTTTAAATTTTTGTCTACAGATAACTTAGAATACTACAATACCTATTTCAAGTGAAACAACTTTGTCATGGTAGTTATGTAGAACAGCATTATTTAACTGTCTTCGTGCTTCTGTAGGCTGTAGTGGCTTCCAGTTCACATCTCTTATTATTAATTTCCAATTTTTTATAGAACATGTATTACCACTTGTATCTTTGAATTGCCCTGGAAAATTACAAATGAGTTTTTCATTGCTATTAATGTAATGTTTTTCTGCGGCTACACAACCATATTTGTATTTTTTTTTTTTGTTATAGCATCTTCAATATTTTTTATTACATAAATGTGTAAGCACCTATTTAATAATGGGTCTTAGCTGAAAACTTTCGACACATTATTTATTACAATGTTGTAGAGGATATTTGCTGGCAATTTTTTTGTAACCAGATTTGGGTGTGACGGCAATTAAACTTTTTACAAGCAGATTTTTTGGTAGGAGACAGTTAAATGTTTATTAGATTTTTTAGCTGTAAAATAACATTCAAAATTGATCACATCCAAAACTACATTTATAGAGTGCTATAATGATAGAAGTATTTTATATATACCTTCCCAATCCATTGTAGAGAATGGTTGCAACATCTCAGTAAAAGATAAATTGTTCTTAGATACGACATTTTCAACTTTTGGGCTACAGAGGACAGCGATGATAGGTGAAAATGAATCTTGAATGAATTCTTGTGCAGTTTTGCCCAATCTGGCCATTTTCTAGGGCTTTTCCACTATTCTATGCCTATAAATAGACCACAAAGAGACCCCAAAATCTGTCAATCAGCTTCATTCGATTAATAAATTTATAACTTTTATTGGAAGACAATTATAGCCCGTTGAGAATTTTATTTCTCATAATATTGTATTATATGTAATTGTAGTATTGACAGCTTTTTTTTTTTTTTTGGAGTTTATGGCCTGGATAGTATTGACAGCGGTGACAGTAGAGCACAGAGTATAGTAATTTATAGGTAGAGTAATTTTGACATTAATTTACCAGTATATATAATCTGTGCAGTAATTGTTTTAAAAATGACAACACTGACATTTCCAGACAGTATTTTTGTGGTAATGTTGGTGTAGTTTTACCAACCGTCCGATAAGCTGGGTATTCATCTTCCAGCAAAGACATCTTCGAAAATCGAAGTAAACTGATTTTTGTATACCATAACATCTATTTTTATTTATCGAAGAGCTATTACTTTATTTATGATTAATATTTTTTTTTATCAGAGGAATACCATCAAATCACTCCTCTCGCCCAGGATAAAACGAGAGGTAGAGAATCAACTCTTATTGACTAAAGACAGAGCACACTGCCACCACTGTACCGTATTGTTCCACAGTGTCTTGCGAGTGGTCCTGACTATGACGATACCCGAGCGACTTCTCCCGCCACCCAGATCTGAAACAGGTAGTAACCTACCGAAGCACCGAAGCTTTCGTGTCCGGGAAGCACCTGCATCAGGCGGAAGATGAGAAGAAATTTTATTGAATAGCTAGATCCAGAATACGTAGGATGGTATTCTGGATATGGTTATCGCGATATGTTTATAGCCAAGAAATCGCGAACCCTTTGGCACTTCGGGCGAAGCTTCGGGCTTATCGCTCCGCTGTCGCACATCTTAGGGTTTTGTCGCGATGAAAAGGTTTCGTATATTACATATGGCCGGGAAGATTCTCTGTAGCCCGAACACGAAGTTTATCGCCCGAATGTTTTCGCGATGAGTGCGGCCGATGCAAAAGGATAATATAAAAACAACGAATTAATGTTCATATCGTTAATATTTAATGAAAAATTCATTTTACAAAATTCAAGTATACCTATTCAACCAATTTAAAGTAACTTTTTTTAAATTTACGACGAAGACCGTAAATGCATTACTTACATAAAAATATAATCCATTATAATCTTAAATTAGGTATAATTCTTATTAAAAGAAATTTATATTTAAAAGAAAACGTAATCTTGCATTCATGTTATCCAACTTATTTACTTTTTGAAAATGAATTATGAAGCAATAATTGCACAGTAATCAAAAATATTATAAGTGTAATGTTCTCTGATTCAGTTGTAATTAACATTTTTTTTATTATTTTTAGATTGCCGTATTAAATAAATATCGAAGTTACTCATGTTGAAATTAGAATAAAATTAACATCAATTATGAAGTTTTGTACAATGATGGCTTCATAATTCTTTATTTTATATGATCAGAAGTATGTAGTATATTAACCACATGCAAACCAGACAGCATACATTTCCTTAAAATGAAAATTTCAAACTGTCATTAGGTTAAGGGTGTAGTTAAGTACAAATAAAATGAAACAATGAACGCGTCTTAAAAATGATAGAACTAGCAAAACCATTCGACGTAAGGCTTCACGACGCAAGCATGTCTTTGGTTTCGTAGCAGAAACTGTATAGATTAATTACTGGATTTATGTTGAGTATTACGTCACAATTGCTAATAATTCATTTTGTCCCTTCCTACAGTTCCACAACCAGTATCAAGTTGCGTTTTATGTAAGTAGTGTAGTGGAATGGTGATTAATAGTGCCTATAGCCGAAATATTTTTATAACTATAAAATAATACTTACTTGTATTCCTATTTTCTAAATGAGTCTTAATTGTAATTTAACACATATAAAAATAATACAACTACTTTAATTAAGCTTAATCTTGCTAGTTGCACCATTCGAACGAATAATCATGTGTATACATTTTAATATATGGTAAAAACACATGATTTCAAAGAAAATCGTAAGAATAAAGATATGTTGAGTTAATTCTGTATAGTCGATTTAGTATTCTACATTATGTTCAAATAACTTTGGTAGCTGCCAGATAATACTATTTACACAGAAAAAAGCACATAAATGTTTTCTTGCTAATGTAATAATTAATCCAACGACTATGCAGAATCATCATCATACAGAACTTAATATTCCGATATTTATGTTATATTAAAAAAATCTGTTAAAAAGGTCTTAGTTTTTTATATTTAATAGGTCCTTCAAAAGCGGAAAGGTTTTGTATGACATTATGTGTGAATTCTATTGGACAATCTCAAATTGTCTATCAACAGACTTTAAGCAAATTATACTGAATCTATAAATACGTAATAGAAATACATTTTTAGGCGAAAGAATTTAATAAAACCCATTTTTTTGTGTTAAAAGTGAAAATGAATAGTAACGTATACCGTCGTTACTTTTTACGAACATCGTTGCTGGAAGCGAAATATTCTCAGTTCTTAAATTCACAAGTTAAACTAGGTCGATATTTTTACATCTAACGTTACTCAAAGTTGGAATTGAACATATTTATGTTTAGATCTTCAAAGGTAGCAGTCCCACTCTGGTCCAATATTTGCAGCATGTCGGTGAGCTCGTGCGGCGCATGCGCCCCGTCGGCCGCGCCGGCCCCGGCCGCCGTCGCCGCGCCCGTCTGCCACGTCCACATGCCTGCAACGCACGATATTATATTCTTTATTCATAAATATTCTCTAGGAGCAAACTTCAGCAAATACTATGTTTGAGTATGTCAGACTCTTGCTGACTAAAAACCACCCTCAGTTCCGCGCCGGCATCGTCGAACTATTACAGCTAAAATATTCCGAGAACTACACAGTAGAATATTTATCTATCAGAATAGTTTTTATTTATATTTTCAATAATTTTAATGCGTTGCGTCAATAGATGTGTAATCCACCATCGTTGTGAAATAAGAAGTTTAGAGTATAAGAGAACTGACCGTGCGAGGGATGTGGATGATGGTTGTGGTGGTAGTGCGCGGCGGGGGGCAGGTAGGCGGGCGCGGGCGGGGACCGCGCGGGGGACGCGTCCGCCGCGCCCGCGCCCCCTCCAGCCTCGCCGCTGTAAGCGTAGCTTTCACCGCCTGCGCCACCGCTCTGCTTGTGTTCATGTAATCATTAATGTTTTATTGATTATTATCGTATAGCTTATTTTAAGACGCTTGAATTAACATGTACAATGCCCAAGAATGTGATAACATAACAGAGGTACGTACGGTGCGCAAGGTGGTCCAGGTGGTGTGTGGCGGAGTGTTGGTGGGGCGGTGCGGCGAGTACTCGGGCGCGTAGTGCGGCGCGTAGGGCGGCGCGGGGGCGGCCGGCGCCACGCCCGCCTCGCCCGGCGACCGCGCCGTCACTCCACCGCCGCCACTCACTACACATACAACATCATATGGTAAAGCTCTCATATACGCAGTTAGCTTAGTGCTATCTAACTTTACACCGAAACATTCCATGACAATAGATTCATTCATTGCAACTTGAAATAAACACAATCAATCATTTTTATTTTAATACCTGGTGGTGGAGCATGGTGCTGCTGATGAAGATTTGGTGCCTGAGCTTGATACACATCACGATGTCTTAAATGATAGTCGTAGTTTTCTTCCGGAGCAGATTCACCAGTAGTACTCCCTAATGACCGGCTAATAATAAAAATAAAAAAAAATATGTAAACTATTTTAAGTTTCACAATTTATTAATTTCAAACTTATAAAATAGATGTTGAATTAAAAATGTATCAACTTACTTAGCTAACATGTTTGTGCAAACAATGTATTCAACGTCGTCATTGTATGGATTCAAAAAGGCAAAGGCAGAAGTTCTTAACCATACCCACTCTCTATTTTTCGTGCGAAACCGGTACATGAGCGATATAATTTGCCCTTTCAGTTTCAACACTGAAAAGATGAAACGATAAGATTAGCAAATATTATTAAAACAGAAAATTAAAATAAATGAAGTGTATAAGAACCTTGGTCAAAGTTATCTCTCATGTGTTGTTGGTCCTCAGGATGATAGAATTCGTAGCAAAGTTTCCCTAGTAGATCAGCAGGCGCGTATCCAACCACCTGCGTTGCACGCTGATCAGCGAACGTGAAGCGGCCGTCCACTGAATGCCGCGACACAAACTCTACTCCACCACTACATAAACTGTTCTCTGAAGCATTTGGTGTAGATGTCACCTGGCAGAAAAAAGAATCGATTTTTATTGCAAAATCAAACCATAAGTGCATATTTTCAATTTATTATGAAAAATTTACAGATGTTTTTTACCTGCAGTCTTCCAATAGCAACTAAGCAACAATGAGATGTGTCAAGTTCTTCCTGAATAGGGCGATCCATCTGCATACCTGGAAACAGATCTGATGTCCCAACATACATAAAACTATGTTTCTTAATACTTCATTTAGTCAAAGAACTCATAGTAAATGTTTAGGTACCTTAACTATAAAAACTTTCATAAAACTAGTAGTAATATTAAAAGGTCCTCCAATGCCTGTTGTGTGGACATGCACAATCACAATAAATAGAATTGGGTAAACAATATTACTTGCAAGGGACACGTATACGTATTCGCGTATAAACATTTTACAAGTAACTTATGTTTATAGATTATATTACGATTAGTTAAAATACCTAGAAATATAAGAAAACTCTTTCGCTGGTATACGTGTTACCTGTAGGTGGCCAATTTTTTATATATCCAGTGCAATGAACAACGGCATAATTATGACCGTCGTGCGAAGGACCTAAAGAGTTGCGCGCACGCAATCTTCCTAGGTGAGCACCTTCGGCAGATCCACCAACCCGCATACGACATATGAAACCCCGACGTGACCCCATTACTTGACGCATGGAGGCTGTAATGATATTTCAAAATATAATACACGGGGGTTATCTCATTTTCGTTCAATGAAAATATAAATAAGTACTTACATTGATGACCTTCTTTCTTCACTGTCCCAGTCTTAAGATCCAATATACGACCTGTGTTCTGTGGTTCTTGAGTGCTTAACTGTTCCCTTACTTTTTCGACATCGTCGGGGTGTACTTGATCATACAAACAAGATGAATACCACTCGCCCTAAATCAAAATAAGCTAATTGTTTGAATCATTCATTTATAAATAAATAAAGGGACTTGGATAAGAATTAATTACCCGAGTGAATTCTTATAATTACCTGAGAGTAGTTTAATACTGGAGCTATACTATCACTGACGTAAATAATACGTCCGGTGTCGCAACTAACAACGAACAAAAATCCATCAGCTGCTTCAAGGATCAAGTGCTTCAGTTCTTGATCAGTTAAAAACGATGGCTTGTAAGTACCATCTGTAGAAGTATTGCCAGTGCCTATAACACATAAATTATTAAGTATTAATTTGACTTCTACTGCCTACACTTGTATTATTCGAGATCCTCAAAATCATTCAAAATTTATAAAATACGATCTTATAGCTTCCGCCCGCGGCTTTGCACGCGTAAACAAGTGATGTGTCCCGGGATACGTCCCGATATATAGACTAAAATTCGCAAATAAAAACTCAGGAACATTGTAGCTATCTACCAGTGAAAGAATTGTGGAAAGCCGACTAGCGGTTCTAAAGATAACCCCTACATACAAACTTAAATTTTTTATCTCTTTATAATATATTAGTATAGATAATAAAGTAATCATTATTACTAAGGTACCTCTTAAGGCTTTCATATGAGCTACGGCCATGCGCAGTATGGTAAGTTTGTCCGGCTTGCGCGCGAGGGCGGAGCATGTTGGAACCATATCCGATAGTTCCGTAATGTATGCTGTCATCTTGTTTCGTCTGCGACGTTCAATTTCACAATGATTCTCGCGGCTGCAAATAAAATAAACATAAGTAATCTAGTAAATTCTTATACCGGGTAAGTTCGGGTTACTTTGCCCTGCGGCGTAACTTTGATCCAAACCCTTTAGCCAATAATAACTGAGAACCAAACATATATTCGTTTTTCATTGGTTCGAAAATTTGGATCAAAGTTACCTCCCAGGGTCAAAGTAACCCGAACTTATGGTACATTTCTTATTAATAATAATGCTCATTCAGACTGTACATTCCACGGAAAATATGTAGGAAGTTGTGGCTTTTAAAATGCCAAAGCCCTCCTCAACAAAGAGGTGGGCAGTCTCCGAAACTACTTCTTAAAAAAATGCACCAAGATGTTGTCGTTGTGGACAAAGGACTTTGCGCTCTCCTTAGCTAACGAGAGTTGGTCTACATGGGCCAGAGGTAGACTTCTTAGCGTCCTTCTTAGTATCCTGGCTCCGTTTCGGCAACTTATTTGGTGTAACAGAAGGTTCAGTCTGTGCAATTATGGACGAAGTTTTGCTGACGAACAATTAACGAAAATGTATTATAAAGGATGGTACGGCTGACATTTGTCGGGCATGTCATCGCCCCGGAGAATCCATCCGATATATAATTTCGGGTTATTTTCACCGAGCTAATGTAGAGTATTTGCATAGACACAACTTCGTAGCCAGGATTATTCACCAGCGACTTGCTTTAAAATACAAACTTAATCTCAAGTATAGTATCTGCCAAATCCAGTTCTTGAAAATGGAGATGCTACACTGTATTATTGTGATGATAGATCGATCAAGCCGTCGCACAATGTTAATTTATCCGATATGACGAGAATCGACATGTGGGATTGTCATATTTGTCAATGGCTAAAAGGCTCTAAAAACAACTAAGCACGTTCTTGAGAACCTGCGGCGGTTGCGGTCCTTCTAGATACGGCGCGCATTGGATGGAGATTCCTTTCTCTGGAGCCCTGTCCACTGGTAGTCCGGAACCCTCCCGTTACCGGTGGGTTACTGCTTTTTATCTTTTACATATTTAAAAACTTGTAAATCAAGTGTAAAAGTAAACAATAAATGCTCATTCAATGTAAGGACGATACTAACACCAAGTAGGTATCTCTACCTAAGAGTAACAAAATGTATAATTTATAATGAAGTTTAAGTGAAAAAGCGCGCACTTGTCGCGTGATAAGACACGTTTTCAATCATCACATAGTAGCCTAGTAATGAGTCGTGGTTACGAGAAAATCATAACCTTGATGTAAAGATTTGTATACATTCAAATACACGCAAATTGTTGAGACAAGCTATTCAGTGTATTTAATTTTAGTCGACGTAAAAGTTTGAGTATATGAAGCCTTTAAAGTTTTATTCGGTGGAATTCTTATATTTTTGCAAATAATAAAATTATGATGTTTGCAATTCACGCCTCAACATAGGATAAAATGATGATAAACATAATTATACAGCTACTTGCGGTAATAACGTGTATGCGTTTACGCAATTTACTTTAAGAGTATGCTTCTTATGTCAAGATTTTATTTTTATTAGATTTACTATCATTTGATGCCTTCTCTAAATTAAGTTCTTTTTGTGAGGGGAAAATCATCGAAAAATGACAACTCTCACCCAGGTGGGTCGAGATGGAGGGTCAGGCTCTTACTGAATAAAAACACCCCGTTAGCAGGAAGGTGAGGACTGGAAGATAGTCTTTCTGCTACCCGACACGAAGACCCGCAGTAACTAAAGACGGCGAATAACTCGCCGACCCCGATCAGAACCAGACCCGAGAGTAAAGCGCGCTGTGTGCCGCGCGTGATTGAAAGTACCAATAGACCACCGCAGAAGGGGCCTTATAGGGCTGATATTCAGCTGCAATTGCGGGGCAAGCGCAATGAGGCACCGCGGCCTCGGCCTAGAGCAGGAGAAGGAACGGGAATGTTTTTAGTCAGTAAGTGTCTGCCACTTCTATTCGCCGCACCCTGGGCGGAAAAAGTAATTTAATGGTTTCCGCCTCATAAAAAACGAGCGTCTTTCTTCTCAAAGAGGAGTCTTACCGTCATTATCTGCTGTCTATCTATTAACTTGCTGTTATATCAGGTACTTTTAAACATGGTGTTTCTCTATTATTTTATGATATTGATATCAAACAAATAAATAGTGCAAAATTTTTAGGTATTATTCTTGACACGCATCTCTCATGGAAAGATCATGTTAATAGTTTATGCGTAAAAATTAACAAGTTCGTTTTCGCACTTAGAAAAGTGAAAGACGTGACGGGCCGACATACCTCCATTATGGTATATCATGCCTACGTATGTTCCATAATTCGGTACGGCATCGTGATCTGGGGAAATTCTTGCGACATTGCTAGACTATTTATAGCACAGAAAAAATGCATTCGTGCACTGTACGGCATGAGCTGGTCTGAATCTTGTAAACCAATCTTCAAGGCACATAATCTATTAACCGTACCTTGCATATACATATATGAAGTTGCTAAATTTGTCAAAAGCCACGGTTATCTTTTTGTCTTTAACGATAACACATTTAAACGCAAAATTAATCACCTTCCATTAAAAATGCCCGTACCTAAGCTGGAACTTTTTAGGAAAAACTGTGCCTATATGGCACCATTAATTTACAATTCTCTGCCTAAGGGAATGACCGACTTGCAGTACAACAAGTTCTGCAGTGCCCTGCGAAAGTGGCAAATTCAGGAGAGTTTCTATAGCGTTAAAGAGTTTCTGAACAAAAGTACATGTCGATTTGGTGCCCACTAAATGCTGTCTTGCTCCTTTTCCGATGACCTTTTTATATATTATAATTTAAGTAATTAGTTTTTAGTAATTGTATTTTGCATACCCGTAATAAGGGTGAAATATGTTCTGTACACTACTTACATAATGTGAACACCTAATGTAACACCATATTTCAAGCGAATAAATGAAATGATTTAAATGATTTTTCAGACAGAATTTATTCAGCCATAAATAAACACCAACCCAGCTGTACTCAATAATTTAATTCCTTATAAAAATGGTTCCTTGGTTCTCGGCAATTCTTGCCCTACATTATTTCACCTCAAGATGTCGGCGTCTAAGACAAAAGGGCACGACGATAGCTTTAGATTAAAAACAACATTCGTAAGGAAATGTCCGATATACCACGAGCGATTTGCCAGGGAGTTTTTACGAATTTGAGGGCTATACTGGAAGGGTGTGCGTATAAATGGCACATATCACGACGGTGTAATAAAAAACATCTAATAAAAATACAACTAAGAGCAGCTAAGTTGTAATTTTGTATGATTTTATAATACACTCAAGTTCATGGTCTCCATGTAGTTAAAATTACGTACCTTGCGAATCTCTCCTTGTCCTGAATGTTGTCCTCCTCCATCCTTGTATATTTCCCACCACTTGCGTCGTCTTCATCTGATCTATAAACAAGATTCTTGTTTCAATAAATATATTGTACTACAGGACTGTTGTCTGACCTGAATTATTTGATTAAAATAGGAATATGTAGTCCAGACATGACAAAACAAAAATAAGAACTATCCGAAAATTTAAATACTTAGAACATTATTTCCAAAGCACTTTTGATCAAAAGTCTTAAGTGTAACTTATAAAGAAGAAATTTAATACAAAAACCTGGACAATCTTGAAGTGATTAACTATTATACCTCACAAAAATAAGGTAATTAAGTCTACACCTGTCAAACCTATATAAAACATTATTTTTATTATTATGTTCTATATCTGTATCAATTTTATACTAACTGATGGGTGATAGTTGTATGTTTTAGTTATAAGTTATGTATAGTTAAAATGGGTCTACTTTAATTTAAAGAAGAAGTTGTATGTTGTATACATACTTTTTCGAACAAGACTAGTTTATGGACAGTAATACATCTAAACCTGTCATTATTTTTATTAATAATTCCTTATTTTACTAATATAAGTAATTCTCTTTTGACCAGGAAACTGATATGACGCTAGGGAGCATACTATGCCTCCTTGATAGCTTAAGTTTTGACTATTATTATTAGCTTTCTAATATTCTCACATAAGATCTAGAACTCACCCAACACTGCCAGCACGGCGTTTTTGTATATCCTTTGCTGGGTCAGCCCCTATAAAAATAGCATTTATTTTAAGTTTTACTCAAAAACAGTTATGTAATAATAGATTTTAATCATTAATAATTTGAATAACATTAAATATTTTTCATTCACATATTTGGATGTTTTTTAATCTGTATGGCTATCTATAACACTATTTCAGTTTTCAAACCAAAAAGCTTTTTTGATCCCTCAGAATACTAATAAGTTCAGAATAGTAATTGTAGAAGCTTGTGGGATTATAAATGACAAAAAACCAAAAGATAAGGATAAAGTATTCAGTCAAGCTCAATAGATACAATAACAGAATATTATTTTGTCATAATATCATCTAAAATATTATTGTTATCTTATCTGTATTGTTTTAGTTCATTGACAGATTTCTTATGTATTCACAAAATAATAACAATGTGTTATTAATGCCTCAGTTTACTCATAAATATCTGTGGTAAATTTGATAACAGATAGAAATTAATTTATTTTTTAATGTGATGGTAGCTTGATCAAGGTCACGTGAATTCTGATTGTAAATATACAATTACTTAATTACATAAAATAAAACAATAAAAAACTTTTTCGTCATTTAGCTTACTTTAGAAATATTATAAAAGGTTGATTTTATTTATGAAATTAATAACATCTCAAATTATTTTAAGTTGGAAAACATAATAGTCAGCAGTGTTCTCAATACCTGTGTTAAATACCTAATTATAAACCAACTTATAATCAATTACAATCAAAAGTGCTTTGTATGCAAATTATAAATTCATGGGAAATGCGTTGATCCTAAATTTCCATTTCTTGAGTAACTAACAACGCGTCACGCGGTGCAATGTCAATTTGAAAATAGGTCGATAACTTTTGAGGTATTTAAGAAACCTACATGGAAATAAAAGTTTGTTTAAATAAGTACAGCCCTTTCAATTCAATAATTAATTCGTATTCTAATAAAATTAGACACAGGTATGCCAGCATTTACTCATAAAACAGTATTGAAATTATCACCAACCGGGGATAGTGGGAGCCACGGCAGACATCGGTCAATAAACTCATTAGTCCACGTTATAATTATCACTAGTTTTAAAACCTAATACTATTCAAACTCACAACAAATACGTCAGTAAAAGCACAAAGTAACACGTATGTTTACAGCTCTTCAATACAACACAAACGCCATTTTCCAGTGCAATCACCACACATAAAAACGTCACATGTAAATGTTGCCATAGCAATATTTCTCTTAGTCGATTTGTATTTTTTTTATTTCCATTTGACAGAGCAATAATAGTAGCTATTTTCTGTTTATATTTTTTATTATAGAGCAGCGTAAGTTAGATGTTAGAAATTTAATTGTTAGAATACTAAATGTATTAAAATACTTCCAACCTCACTTGCAGGCTAATTATGTGATGTGTCATGTCAGATTTTGTATAGCCTAGTCGAGAAATTGATTAAACCTAAAACATATGATTTAATAAAACATAATTTCACTAAACCGTATATTTTGCAATCTCTCTGTTTTTACATAATTAAAATGTATGTTTGTTATTAATAACAGACGTATAAAGGAATAGCAGACTCATTGTTTGAAACATGCAGTTTAAACGTAGTGGTTACATACTCTTTGGTTTAGAGAGAAGGAAAAAGTGAGGCGTTGCGATCACTATAAAAGCGGGCTGTTGTGCGAACCAATGCCGCGAAGAAAATTTGTACATAATTCAACTTACTTCATCTACTTGCACTCATAAACAGCTAACTCAGCATTTTCAGTGTCAGGCGGGCTAATGACTTCGAACGTAGCTATCGTTCTCCTTCTCCTTAGCCTCCATGGTTTAAACATAGTATAAACATAGTTATTCAAACATTTATTATTCTCTTTCGTTGTTCTATCTGACTCGTAGACAGAGTTGTTTTCTCTGTCTTCGCTTCCAGATCCATTTAGCCACTCAAATTTTCGTTGTCTCTCTGTTGCAATATCTAGCAACCATTCCCAGGGGCCCGGTCGGTGACTTGACGAGTCTCCACCTGCCATTTTTAAGTGTATAAATTATTATTTATAGCAGCAGCAGGGGTATAGTTCTTGCATAGTTCCCATTATACCAGTCCATAACAACCCACACCCGTAGCCTTATCCCTTGTTTCCATTATCTGCAATAGTCCTACTACTACTACGCTCAAGACCATCTACGGAGCTACCTATGTACTTAGGTCGTATGTGTGAGCACCTGTCTGTGCTAATAGGGTGATAATAGGTGCGGTACGACGGAAACTTTTTCAAGGCCAACGTGTAAGGCTTACAGGACAGTTAGTACTGAGGACCTACCCGTGCTCGCAGGTTTACTTCCCGTTGATCTTGAGGTGCAGCGACGTGCTGGTACCATGTAGTACAATTCGAGACAAAACTTTCTAGCACAATGCGATCGAACTTCGGACAATCGGACAATTCTATCAAAGGCCGCTTTATCAGTTTTTCCATCCGTAAGAGCGGCTTGAAAAGACATGGTTGGAGGTGGATCATTGTGTAACCCAGTTTTTAACGGGTCATGGCAACTTGGAAAGCAAATTATTTTCATTTAAATTTGTTGACTCTCCATGGTGCCAATGTTCGACAGCGGAACTGCAATATGAGCTGTCTGTCCATAATACAGTCTGGGAGAATAGTCTCTAGCAATATGAGCGTAATTATGTTAGATAATTCAAATGTCTCAACAGGTGTAGTTTATTATACGGACCTTGTGGAATTTAGATTACATTTTCATGCCATACTTATTACTTGAACCAACTATAGCAGCTCACACATACATGTACTTATAGGTCCAATTACAATACTACATTTTCCGTGGTGTTTGGGGACTCCCAGTTTCTCCCAGTTGGGGCTGTCTGTACAGTCTCTTCTGTGCCTTTAAGGCTTAAGTCATTCTGTCTCCTGCATTCAATTGACCGAAGGAAGTGGAAACTATTTCGGTTTTAGGATTCCTTAGAACTAGGAACCCGTATAGTTTCCCCATGTCTGCTCTGTCTGTCCGTTCGCGGATAATCTCAGTAACCTCTAGCACTAGAAAGCTGGAATTTGGCACCAGTATAAATATCAATCACGCCGACAAAGATGTAAAATTGTTTTTATTAGGGTACCCCCTAACTATTCGTAAAGTATGGAGTGATTTGAGTTTCATTTCAACCCTAACGTGTGATATATTGTGACAATCTTGCTAAGAGATGGCATTGGACCTATATATGCTACTTACGATGAATTGCGGTTTTAAGAATTAGGTACAATAACTCTTAGGTAACTTGTTGTGACAGACGGGAAACTACGGAACCCTTCACCGAGTGTAGCCCGATACGCTCTTGGTTGGTTCTTGGCTTGATTTATTTCGTTGCAGGATCCAAGACAGTCATTAATGTCAACTTCAGTGTTCTGATGTTTTCATGGTTTTGTCTACTATAGATCCTGGTATACAGAAGTTGCAGCGGCTTTGGGAGGTTGGGGCGGGCTTGTCCTATAAAAAAAGTCCTACTACTAACAGGGGGCTTGGTTCCATTTCCATAGTACACAGTTTCGTAGCACAAGGATAGTCGCCGGATCGTGTTCCATTTCAATTAGATTAAAGTTGTTTAAAGGTCCTCTACGGAGTTGGCTTCGGCTCTTTGTACGCCGCCCAATTTAGTTGTCCCAAAAGCAGGAGGACCCTGGGACCCTGTGGTCCTGTGATTGGCAAAAACATACATAGTAATAATTTATTTATTTGCTCAAAACATGGTATATTTACATAAAAGATAGACATATAAATATTTTTTTTTTAGATAATTTTATGTAGAATATTTCCATCATTCATAGTTTCTATGTAACTTTAACCGCTAAGGCTACACACGCGACGGAAACTTAAAAAAGGGAGTAACTTCTCCCGTTTTCCCAACATTTCCCTTCACTGCTCTGCTCCTATTATTTATAGCGTGATAAAAAGTATCCTATAACCTGCCCAGGAGTATAAATAATAATTGTATTAGTTTTTGTTAAAATCCGTCGAGTAGTTTTTTTTTTCTATAAGGAATATACAGACAGACAGACAAAAATTTTACTGATTCCATTTTTGGCATCAGTATCGATCACTTATCACCCCCTGGCAGTTATTTTGAAAATATATTTAATTTTTTTTTATAGAATTGACCTCTGTACAGAGTTATTATAAGTACCTATAGATATAGAGAGATAACACACTTGGAATATAATATTAGATAAAATGGTAATACCTAAAATTTCATCCGCTTTTCGTAATCATATTTCTCAGCAACAGCGCGGTTTTCTTAAACATCGTAGTGTGGATAGTAACATGCTCAATTTCTTGTGAACGCTATGGATAAGAATCTACAGGTAGATGTCGTGTACACCGCCTTTTCGAAAGCGTTCGACAAAATCAATCATGACTTGCCTATTGAAAAACTTGCGAGGGCCGTTGTGCACGGCAACTTACTGCGATGGATCCAGTCATAGGAGTCATGTATAAAAATCGAAGTCAGGCGGTTTGTGTTAAAGGTTACTCATCTCAATTCCTCCCTGTTCCCTCCGGAGTTCCCCAAGGTTCCCATTTGGGACTCTTGCTCCTTACCCTCTACATGAATGACATAGGAACCATAATATTTGATCACAGTAATCACTTACTTTACGCTGATGACACTTTGGAGGTATGAGGAACAGGGTGGTAAGTTCCTCATCCTCCATTGAAAAGGGAGGATCCTCCGACCAGGCGAGGTGTTAGTGCCTGGTGGGCTACTGCCCGACGGTTGTTGTCGGGATATCTGTATGGGTGCTAATTGTGTTGAAAACTCTTATAGCGCGATGTAGACTCTTGCTCGTGATTGGTGCTGTTGTTTATGTAGTGCGCTAAATGTCGCTACATCACTCCCCTCCGAGAGCGGAGGTCGTTAGCTGGTTGAGACGTCTGTGAGATGCTTGTCGAGCCAGTTGATGGTTTCAGTGCGTCGAATCTGTCTGCGAAGGTGCCCCAGTGAGTCGGGTGGTGCAGTGCTGAAGAGTGGCTAGCTGCTGCGTCGACCAGGAGAGGGAGTACGTCTCTGCTTGCTGACCGGCCGGTGCAGTATGCTGTGCCGAAGTTTCTGATAAGGCTGTAGGTGCTGAAGAGTGGCTAGCTGCTGCGTCGACCAGGAGAGGGAGTACGTCTCGGCTTGCTGACCGGCCGGTGCAGTATGCTGTGCCGAAGTTGCTGATGGGGCTGTAGGTGCTGACCAGGAATGCGCGTTGGCTGCATGCTGGTGGTCAGGGAACCCGTTGTAGCCGTGGAAGCTGGCTGACTGTAGGATTCGCTGCTTGAAAGCTCGAGGAAGTGATGACGTCATGGCTAAGACGTAGTTGCACGAAGGCTGCGTTGATGTTCATGCTCGGGGTCACCAGTTTGGAGGTATGAGGAACAGGGTGGTAAGTTCCTCATCCTCCATTGAAAAGGGAGGATCCTCCGACCAGGCGAGGTGTTAGTGCCTGGTGGGCTACTGCCCGACGGTTGTTGTCGGGATATCTGTATGGGTGCTAATTGTGTTGAAAACTCTTATAGCGCGATGTAGACTCTTGCTCGTGATTGGTGCTGTTGTTTATGTAGTGCGCTAAATGTCGCTACAACACTAAAATATACTTATTTTAAGAACTACCACAATGTCGACACTATAGGTCTATTGTAAAGAACCATTTCTTTCATGAATAATACTGTTTGTAAGTACATGACTGTTTATTGCCAAAATAAAATAAAATAAAATAAAAATTTTAAGGCATAAAAATATTAGCGTTACTATTGATCGGCAGAACATTTACATGTCCGAATTTGCAACGGTATACTTTTAACATGGCAGAATTTTATTTAGCATAATTACAATTAATTTTGTGTGTTCGTTTCGGTTCACGGGTTCACAGGATCCCGGACCTTTGGAAGCCTTACGCTAATGGCACATTAATGCTAATGGCATTCTTTCCCAGTCAACCTTAGAGTTAAATAGTAAAAACGGCGAAAATATAGGCATAATAACACATAGACTTCACAAATATAGATATGTACTCAAAATAGTATACATATGTCTATCTATTTTATGGTTGTCTCACAATAACACGTGTAACATAGCAGCGTGTACCTGATAGCTCAGCAGTTCGGAGCATTCTGATTATATTTGTTTACTCTAGTGTTTGTAACACTCACTTATCCCGAATTTAAAAA